TATGAGACTAGTTTGAGACTAGTATAGTAAGCTGGTTGTGTTTCTACATAATCCAAAATTTTAGAATAAGTTAATATTAAATTACCTTTGATCAAATAATTATGTATTTTGTGAATTATTTAGTAAATGAAGTCTTCATATCTGAAATAGAGGGGTTTTTAAAATCATACTGAACATTAATCACTCATTTTGGATCTTAGCCAGTTGCTGAATTTTAACCACAAAGTATATATAAATCACATACATAAACATGCACATATAGGTGCAATTCATGGCAATATATTGTAACATCCTCAAACAAACCGTCCTTCTACTATGGTACATTTTTAAGTATCTTTATTTAGTTTCCTTTCTTCCCATTTTCATCTGATAGTCGGTTTGATGAGTGGACTACTTGTTTTATGACACAAAAAAGAAAGGCTCTGGAAATAGAAAATATTAGAAATGACACGGACATACTTCCCAAGACAAGGAGGTGGGTTGGCCCCAGGAAGATGGCAGTGCAAGGAGAGTGTGAGACACGCTGCTCCAGCCCTGGGTCTTTTGAGGGACAGTGGAACTTGGGTGGGTAGGTGGGTTGTTAACCTCCTTGGTCCTCCAATAGTTAGTCTTTCGTAGCTACTTTTTTCCTCTTTGCCATTATTTTTTTTCATCTCTGTCTATTATTCTCAAATAACTAGTCTCACCAGCTACTCTTTCTCAACTAAATGTCCAATAATTAAAGAATTATGTTCTCTGCTTTTCATGTGAGTTCATGGAACTGTGGGGAGTCAATACCTTGTTATTAATGAACAATTGATTCTGTTCTGTTATGAGCTCTCTGCTGAATGGACTGACCACAAATTTTGCTGACTTTTTGAAAGGTAGTAAACCACTTGTCATCTCTTAGCTCTTTATCAATTCTTCCTCCTAGATTTATTTAATTCAGATAGAGAATAATTCAAAACGGAGATTATTCCCAAGACTCAGAGCCCCTTGAGCCTATGGTATTCAGCAAATCCGGTCCATGAAAGGTATTCTCTCCCACTTGAAAAATCCTTTTCCTATCTATCAGTATTAATGGAGGTCACTGTGTCAGTAAGACTGCCCTGAGATAGAGATGTGATCTTTCAAGATCTATTATCTTGTTAAATTCAATATACTATGTATGAGGCTATAAATGCATAATCAGTTGGGAAATTCTCTTCCAAAACTTAGTGCCAAAATAAGATTAGAGTTACTCTTAAGGTAAAATCCAAGATTTACTTTGTCTTTCAAGATCTGGTGTCTGTTTCTTTTCTATCTGTCTTTTTTACCTCAACATTTATCTTGGAGCTAAGCCTGTCGCTCTCCCCAACTGATGCTTCCCTTCTAGTAGAGAATGAATTACACACACACACACACACACACACACACACACACACATACATACCCCACATGCTCAGTATTTACAAATCATGGCAAATCAAGGGAGGTGAAAGGTAGGGTGTGGGAGGTATCCTTACAGAGGTATCATTTGAGAAGGAGGCAGCTCTCCAATGACCTGGAAATAGAACTTTCTGGGTGGAAAGAATGACGGTGTAAAACACCCATGCTAGCAATAAGCCTGCTGTAATCCAGAGAAGGCAGCAGGGTGTCCAGAAGACAAGAGGGAGGTGGCCATGAGGTCTGAGAGGCAGGCAGATTCAGTTCATTTAGGGCCTCCTAGGCCATTGGAAGAAGATTGGATTTTTGAGAATTGATTAGAGAGTTTTAAGTAAGAAAGTGACAACAGAATTTATTTTTAAAGAGATAGCCAGCTGTCTGCTTTGCTTTAGATGATGCTGTAAGTCGAAGCAGAGAGACAGGAAAGCTCTGTCAAAGCAAAGAGACAGGACAGCGGGTTAGACTGCCTGGGGGTGCTGTAGGCATTCAAGAAGTGGCCAGACACAGGATAAATTTTGGAGAGAGAGGCAAAGGACACATCACTTAGTAATTGTGGGTCCTTGGGCAAGTTATTGAAGTTTCCTCGGCCTCAGTCTCCCATCTGAATGACGGGATAATACTCACACACCCACACATCATGTTCCACATATGAGGATTAATATTTGCTCTAGGTTAAGCTCTTCTAACAATTGGGAACAAATAGTAACCAATACCTGTTTGTAGCTTTTTAGTTGTTATTATTGGACATGGGAAGGGAGAGATCAAGGATGGCTCCTAGGTTATACACTGAACAGCACAGCCTATTGTCTGACTTCACAGGCAATGCCCTAGAGTGCTTTTGAGAAGTGAAGGGCTTTGACATAATTTTGCAGCTATTGACTAATGGTGACCACCGCCAGAGATTCCTGTAGTATGTCCCTTCTCCTTATCTGTATATAGCACATGCTAACTACCCCTCTGGTGAACTTCAGTAAAGATAGGAAGTTAAATTGCCTGCTATACGTAATAGTCTCTGTATGTTTCAATAAAGAAGTTATTAATGAATAATGTAAAAATGACTGTCTTGTGTAAAAAGGATATGGTTTTAAATCTACGGTTTTGATGTTCAATGCGAAAGCCTTGTATCTTGACGTATGTGTTTATGTCTAATGTAATATATAAGAAAAGGGAGAAAAATGGCTGTTTTGGAGCATGTTTTAGTAAGATTGTAGGATTGACTAGAATTAAAACTAGAGCAGAAAATTACAGTGTTCAGTGAAAAATATAGAATTATTTCCTTCTTACTGTGTATGCAAAAAGAATAACTTAGATGCTGTTAAAAATTAATTTAAGGGCCTCCCTGTGGTGCAAGGGGTTAAGATGCAAACTGTGAGGCTATCTGCAGCCACTGCAGCACAAGTTCAATCACCGGCCAAGGAGCTAGCCAAATGGTGCAGCAGACTTCTCCCAACTCACCCACTGCTCCCCTCAGCAGTGTATTTCAGTCAATCTGCCTGTTCTGTTCCCCACTCTGTCTCTGGTGAATCCTCTCTCACACACACACACACACACACACCCCGACACTTCTGGCCTGTACCCCAGTTCTTGTATGCATAAATAAATAAATCTTTAAAAAATGAATTTAAAAGGATCAATAAATGCAGAAGCCCCAATCACTAGCTCATACAGGCTTTGGGGATCAGTGACTTTTTATTCTTTAAATATGACACCCAGGTTTGAATTATGGCTCCAAAGGGCATCTTGCATGCTTCAAAGTTGTGACAACCATGAATAAAACTGCTATAAACATCCACGTGCAGATTTTATGTGAACATAATTTTTTAGTTCCTTTGGGTAAATACCAAAGAGTATGATTATTGGATCATATGGTAAGAATATGTTCAGTTTTGTTAAGAATTGCCAAACTGTCTTCCACTGTGGCTGAAACATTTTGCAGTCTCACCACCATTGCGTGAGAGTTCCTATTGTTTCACATCCTTGCCAGCACTCGGTTGGATGAAGTTGTCAATAGATGTCAGTTGTACTCAGGTGATTGATGGCGTTGTTGAGTTCAACTGTGATCTTTCAGACTTATTCTAGCTGATGGGTCTGTCCATTTCTGGTAAAAGGGTGTTGAAGTCTCTAACTGTGATCAGGATTCATCTATTTCCCTAGAAATCTGTCAGTCTTGCTTCACATAGAGGCTCTATTATTAGACATATCTGTATTAAGGACTATCATGTATTCCTAGAGGATTGATTCTTTGGTAATAATGTAATGCCCCTCTGTATTTGTGGTAACTTTTCTAACTTTGAAATCTTCCCTTGCTGAAATTAATATAACTACTTCTCTTTTCTTTTGTTAACTATATTTTCAGCATTTCAGTATGTTATTATTATTAATACTAATTCAGTTGCAAGATCAGAACCTATTTGAACCCTTGTCGTTATGTTCTCCTTCACATAAAATTTTAACCTAGGGATTAAGTCTCAGCACTATCACCACGACTGCTGAGTTCTATCCCTAGGCAGGGAGCTACCCACATGGTGCTGCAGGCCTCTCCTGTCTCACATGCTGCTCCCCTCAGCAGTGTATTTCAGTAAATAACCTGTTCTGCTCCCCACTCTGTTTCTGATGAATTGTCTCACCCCCTGCACCTCTGGCCTACACCCCGGTTCTTCTACGCAAAAAAAAAAGGTAACACCATAACCAGGATATCGCCTTTAAAAAGAAAAAAAAAAAAGAAAAAGGAAAGAAATGTTAACATAAAGGTTAACATTTATGTGCTGACTCCAGAAGAATTTGGGAGGTTATATTCTCTAATTCAAATAGTAGTGTGTTACTTTTTTGGTTAATTCCACATAAATAGCAATATTCATTTTTGCATTTATCCTCCAAATGCGCCTTCTCCTTAGAGTGGACCTTTGCAGAAGGACTATATATTTTGAATTTGTTTCTATGGTACTTCATTAAATGTATGATTTGGGGTGATTTAAGTTAAAATTAATATCTTCATTTCTCCTATCTCATTACTGTCATTCCTTCTTTATTTCAGCCAGGGGTGTGGGGCTTGGAGGAGGATAGGTATCTTCTTAGCTAGCAGGAAGCATAGGTCTTGAGGTTCTTCTCAAATGCACACAACTATTCTAATTTTCTTCAATCTTGAGATAGCTTTCAGCTCATGTTGTCAGTCCATTTAAATGATTACACCATATTTCCTTTTTTTTTTTAAAGATTTATTTATTTATACAAGCACTGGGTACAGTCAGAAGCATAGGAGGGTGAGAGAATTCACCAGAGCCAGAGCGGGGAACAGAACAGACAGACTAACTGAAATACACTGATGAGGGGAGAAGCAGGCGCGGCAGGAGAGGTCTGCACACTATTTGGGACCCTTGCTGGTGGCCGGGGATCGAACCGGCGCTGCAAAGGCTGCGGGAAGCTTTGCAGCCCAGCGTTCAACCACTGTGCCACCAGAGGAGGCCCTACACCATATTTCTATTGGGTATTTCAGTGACACTTCCATACAACAGAAACACATACTGGTAGAAATAACAGAGCTTGCGCAAAGTCATCCTGATCTGTGTCTGTTTTCTCTTTCACTCCTGTCTTGCTAGGTAAGTGTGAGATCGGCTGGGCCTACTACTGCACTGGAGCAGGCGCTGCCACCGCCATGCTGCTGTGCACATGGCTGGCTTGTTTCTCAGGCAAGAAGCAGAAGCATTACCCATACTGACAAGGAGCCACCAAGACCAAACAGAGGAGATGATGGACTGAAGGGACGTGGAGGGACTGAAACATCCAGCTGCTTTCAAAAGGTGGAATAGTGGTTCTGAAACATACAGTGCAAATGAAACGAAAGACGATGGACTCAGAAATGTTATATAATGTGGAAGGGTAGTGCAAGATTTGGGGAAGAAATGGAGAGCATGAATGGTAGAGAAAAAGGGACCAAAGGCTAAAAATATTGTAGGGTGTTGGGTGTTTCTGTTTCACAGAGTATTATTAATGTAGAATACACTTACACACACACAACAAATCTATATATGCAAACAAGGCTTTGTTTTGTTTTGTTTTTTTAAAGATGAGAACTCAGAGAATCAAAAGGGCTAGCAGAAACAGTATTATGTTGGGAAGCAGAGTATCCCCCAGAAGTTCCCTGTAGGTCACATGCTTCTGAAAGCACACGTGCACACACAGATGTATGCATTCACACTCATGCCCGCACGCAAACATATACATTGTCACACAGATGGCACACACAGACGGCATGAGGGTTTAGCAGTACATTACTCCTCTGTTTTCTTTTTAATATAATATACACTTAAATGCAGTATTACTTCTTTATAAAGCATACATTAAACCTAATAAATGGACCAATAAGCCACCCTATCAGTGTTTTGTATATCCTGCATAAACTGTTTATACCCTTAACTTGGTTTCAGTGTTTCATGCTGACCTTTAGAGTTAAGACTTTGTACTTCCATATTATTTGAAAATATGCAATATTTCTGATTAGCTTCTGCTATGATATTCTTATGAAGGGCGACTTTCTGTCCACCATTAGGAGAGAATTCAATTGAAGTTATGAGAGTTATAAGAGACATTATCCAGTCATTAGATCTTACTTTCTTTTGTCCATTATCGTACTGTGCTATATCACATTTATTTCAATATTCATTTTGTAAAAAGTAAAAAAGTGCTATTTTGTTTGTATTTGAAAAGCTCTGTGAATAAATTTTCTCTTTGATCAATAGCTAAATGAGTCCTAGATGGATTTGGCTTCTTTATGTTATGGATTTGGCTTCTTTAATTTATGAAAAATCACCTTTCAACTCCAACAGTCTGTACATTTCCTTCTCCTTTTATGACTTTAATTAATTCACTCACTAAGCATCTAGTCAATGGTTCTAGGCACACAAGGCATTAAAGGAAAGACATAGTTCTTGGTTTTAACTCAAATACTTTGCAATCAGAATTCCAATTTCCTGTTTATGGAACTTCAATCATGACAAAACTCATATGAGAGAAAAAATTCAAGTCTATTTGGAGTAAGCTTGAGAATATGGGCAATATCAACATGTGGTTTAGTGCAAGCGTCAGGTCTCATGGTTCAGGACGAGTCTGAGCCACCTGTCCCCTTATGATGACAGAAGGTCACAGCTGCCACTGTACCTTCTACAAGCTGCTACATTTCTTCAGCATTTCTGTGCCTGGGGTTAATTTCACAGCACAGGAGCATGGCCATCTGAGAAAGGGTATCTCACACTCCTGCTCCCAGCAAAAAGCCTGAACTGAAGACTTGGAGATTCTGATGACCATAACAGAACCAGGTCTTTCAGGAGCAAAGGTTGCACGATGAATAGTGGAAATGTTCTTTTATTAACCAACACTGAGTTGTTGCAAACAAAAATAATCCTTAAAACTTCATCTTTCATTAGTTCTCAAGTTTAGTTTTTACGTTTTTGAAAATGAACATTTTGACTAGTTATACATTTTTTCTGTACATGGTTGTCATTTTAACTTGAATATCTGAATAGCACACTTGCTTATGGGCCTCCAAATCATGCAGGGTTCTCAAAGAGTCATGCTGCCCTGGAAGAAGAATGTGAGAATCTAGCCAATAAAATTCTAGACTTTCTGAGGTTTTGTTGCTATGGAAAAAGTCACTCTGCTCTCAGATGCTTAATTCATAATGTACTGAATGTCACTTGATTGTGTGTCATTGTCCACTGAGCAGGGGCTTCTCCCTCTGTGGTTTCCTGCAGAGAGGAGAAGATTACACTTTGTTTCCTCAATTAGACCGTCATTTTTATGTACTGCTGGTGATTTTCAATTTTTTTTTTACTGTACCTTCCTGTCAGAATAGTTATGACTTCTTAGCGTCCATGATGAAGTTGGAGTTCTCTATGGAATTCATTAAGGTGTAATTTCTTGGACAGATTTAATGATGCCATTGTTGTTTTTATATAGTCTATAGTATTTTAGACACTAGTTAGCCTCCCTAGAATAAAAAGCTTCTCACTCTGACATGATGAAGTTGAGTGGCAAACTAAGTTCTGACTGATCATATGGTTTTGGGGGAGTTTAAGATATCCCAGTACTTCATCAGAAGCATCTAATTCTGAAGGATTACAGATGCTGCTTTTCAAATGGAATTCAGAATTCAGAATTCAATAAAATATATGAAAAGCCTATCTTTAGAGGTTTCCTATTGATGTAGACTTAGAGGGCAAAAAAATAAGTTCCATTTTTACAACCTCATAATGCTTTCATTGTTTGCACAAGCTTGTGAGTGAGGTAAGAGAGGAACTTACCCTGTTTTCAAGAAGAGAAAATGATGTACGAAGAAATTAATCAATGAAATTTGACTCTTCCAATTTTCAGCATACACGTTTGTGAATTTGGATAATAAATAGTTCTTGAGTACCTGCTACTTGCCAAGCATAACACTGGGTATAAAGCACTTGATAAATCACAACTCCTATTATCAAGTTGACTCTAAGTTTGTGGAGAAAAAGGAACAAGAACACCAATGATTACTACATCCTGTGTGTGATATCAGTTGTCTCAAAGACAGGGAAGTTCTTCCCAGATAAGGAATTCTCCACAAAGAGAAGAAAGATGATAAATTCCAAATTTCTGTTTTTTAAAAGATATCATTGGGGCCTTCCTGGTGGCGCAAGGGGCTGAGCACAGTGCTATGAAGTGATCCACAGCCTCTGCAGCACGATTTTGATCCCGGGCCAGGAAGCTACCCACATGGCACAGCAGACATCTCCTGACTCACCCACTGCTCCCCTCAGCAGTGTATTTCAGTCAGTCTGCCAGTTTTGCTCTCTACTCTGTCTCTGGTGAATCCTCTTACCCCCCACACCTTTGGCCTGTACCCCAGTTCTTGTAGGCATAAATAAATAAATCTTTAAAAAAAAGAATTTAAAAATATATCAATAAATAAAAATAAAAGATACCATGAAGAAAATAAAAAGGTGGGACAAAGACTGGAAAACATTGATACCTGCCAAAGAACTTCTACTCAGAATATATAAAGAACTCCTCAAATGAATTAATAAAAAGACAACTCAATGTTTTAAATGGGTAAATCTTGGACGGGATATTTCACAAAAGAGAACATACAAGTGTTAATAATCACATTGAAAATGTGTGCAAGATCATTAGTCAAGAAGGAAATGAAGCCTAGCGGCACAATGAAACACCCCTTAAAATACACTAGAATGACTAAAACTATTAACACGACCGCATTTGCCAGAAAATGCATGCTTGGAAAGCCACTAGGTAATTTCTTATTAACCATAGTTCCTTCCCTAGGTATTTATGCCAGAAAAAAAAATTATGTCCACAAAAATAAGATTATATAAGAATGTTCATTTCAGTTTTACATATAATAACCTCAAGCTGGGAACAACTCAAATGTCCACCAACAAGTCATGGTATATTTAAGTGGTGGATTATGTGTTGGCAGTCTCAACTGCAATAGATCCAAACACACGGATTTCCTCTGGGAGGAAATGTCTTTAAGGAGTACTGATGCTGTGAGCTGTCTCTGGGTCTGCAGAGAGAATGCATTGGAGCATGGAGGGAGATGAGGCAGGAGAAGAGCATGAAGTGCTTCATGTGCTGTAATAGAATTAAAAGTGGTTCTGAAGGCAGTGAAAGGATTTGATGTTGGGAGATATGGCATGACTGCCTGTTTCTAAAAGATCCCTGGAGCAAGTGGGGAGTCAGTGGGTGGCAGAGGTGGGGCATGGACTTGTCACAATGTAGTCATTCCACGGTTCTTGACACATACTAAAACCCAAGTGATTCAGAGAAAGAGGAAGACAAACAGGGAGGTGCCATCCAGGTGAAAAGTGATAGGTCCCCAAACTAGTCAAGGGGAGAAGGTGGAGCAGCTTAGAGAGACTAGGATACAATTAATAGATCTCCTGCCAGAAGGAGTAGGAGGGATGAGAGTAGAGACAGTTTAGGACTCTACTATGGGCACAGAGGTGAGTGGAAATGCCTGCACGGACAGGATATGAAGAAAGGGACGAGTGTAATTACAGCTGTGTGTGTGATGTGCCCATGAGAAATCCAGGTGGGAATGTCTAGTAGGCAGTTGAAAAAAAAGGTCCTCAGGCTCAAGAGAAAATTGGGGTCCATAGACACTGATGGGGTGATATCACTAAATAGTCAGGCATTAATAAGCAATGAATGTAGAAGCAACATCATCACTGAAAGGTTAAAAATGCCAAAAAAGTCCTCATTGAATCAGAGCCTTAGGTGCTAATTCAAAAGATGTCACTCGCAGGGTCCCCTTGATGGTGCAAGGGTTTTAAGCACAGCACTATGAAGCTACCTGCAGCCTCTGCAGCATGAGTTCGATCCCTGGCCGTCCAGGGAGCTACCCACATGGTGCAGCAGACCTCTCCTGTCTCACCCGCTGCTCCCCTCAGCAGTGTATTTCAGTCAGTCTGCCTATTCTGTTCCTCACTCTGTCTCTGGTGAATCCTCTCACCCCCACACCTTTAGCCTGTACCCCAGTTCTTGTATGCATAAATAAACAAATCTTTAAAAAAATAATGTCACACACACCAATGGAAGAGAAGAAAATTTCAAGAGAGAGGGTGTTCTCAATAGCAAATACCTTGGAGGAGCCAGGAGGTATTTATTTAATTTGGAAACTAGAACTTTACTAATGACTTCAGAAAAGAGCAGTTTAGTAGATGGTAGGGGTGGGTCTAAATTGTTATGAGTAGAAGAGTAACTGACAAAGAAGAGACAACAGTAGCATAATCTTTCAAGAAACTTAGCCCTGGCTGGGAGAAGAGACAAGCTGGTGAGCTCCAATGGGTTTTATACCCAATGGGTTTTATACCTACGTAGCTGTAAAAGCTGTTATCAGCTGGAGAAAACTGCTGCACAACAGGGTGCCT